AACCCTTTCCACACACTGGGCTAAGAAGAACCACCAATGGACAGCTGGCTTTGCCCCATTAGACTAATTTAACGAGCTGTAACATAAATTCCCTGTCTCCACTCGATCGGTACTCGTTGTGGCAGCAACAGCAACCGAGCTCCTGCTGCGGTGGTCGATACTCAACGTGCATCGTGGGTTTTCCCACTAAAAAATTTTGACTTTTTGACTTCTTTACGAGCTATCAAAATCACTTGTGGCCCAGCCTCACGCAGGCCTTTAAATCTAATTTCGTTTTTCAAAAATAAATAAGGGTAACAAGATAAGACGAGGCACTAAAAAACAACAACCAATAATCAGGCAACCAGATAGGCGATGCACTTGAAAAATCTTAAGTTAAATCAATGAAATATTCTTTAATCCCATCCCAGTAACATCTTTACATACTTTCCAAATAAGAAATCCTTAGATAAATCTTGTTAAATCCAAGAAGAATCTTCACCTTTCACGCATTTAATTGCTTTCAACTTCTATTTTAAACTGCACATAAAATTTCTTTCAGTGCAATGCCAGCGATAAGGATCAGACCCCTGAGTTGATTTGAGCTCGAGTTCGTTAGGCGTTTTGTCCTCGTAAATGTTCGAGGTGCTGGCTGCACAAATTAATATTGTGGATTGTGTGGTGTGCGGTCCTCGGAGTACACGGTCCTTGGTGGACATTGGACCTGGCTGGCTGGCTGGTGGCGGGGGCACGCTGTCGGGGGCCAAACACACCGTAAACGAAGACAAAAGGACATCATCAGGCGGCCAAAACAGAACAATGGGCAAATTTGTCGTAAAGAAGCAGGCCCCAGAGAGAAAGTCCACGAAAGGATTTATGCAGCTGTAACCGTGTCTGGGTTAGGTCAACCTGAGTATGAACCTTATTCCCGTTTTCATCATGATCACTCCACTGGGCTGTATGATGATGATGATGATGGTGATGGCAAGGCAACCTTAACTTTATCGTTGGCATGCGTATGCCTGACCTGTAAGTTCACTGGACACGCATGCGCCTGGAAAAGCAGAGGAATCATTTGAAAGACCTGCAAAGGAATGGCCAAAGTGATTGTGATGAGCGAGGAAGATACCCCGTACCTTTATAAAGGAAGGCGACAAATTCGTATCTTACAATAGTGACTTACATTTTGAACTTAATCACAGCTTTCTTAACCCCACCTATCTTTAACTTAATTATATGACTTAATGAAGGACGTAATAAACTTAGTCTTAAACCACAATGCCAATAATAAAGTTAACTTTTATGTCTGTTCGTGATAGTTAATCGCCTTTAACGCAATATACCCCAAGACAAGTGGTCACCAAAAATCCGAAAAAAATCCGAAAAAAAAACGAAACAGATACCAGAAGACCGGATCAGGTCGTACCTTAATCGCAGCACTTTAATCGACACGCAAAGTTCGTTTAAGTTAAATAAACGTTTAAACGAGAACACGGCGCGCGAAGGGAATGGCAATGGAAAAGCCAAGCCAAAGCCAAAGAATGGGAATAAGACTGGGAATGGGCCAAAAACAAGCCAACGGCATGCGCTACACGCAGAACTTGTCCGAGGACCAGATGAGATTCCCCCCAAAAAGGAATCACAAGAAGGGCCTTAAGTCGGATAAGAAAAAAAAAACGAAATATATACAAGAACAGAAATCAGAATGCGTGCCCCGGCTGGGTGTGTACGAAATGTTTAAATTAAGGTGCATATCAAGTGCACCAGATCACTAATTACCAGCGCCAGCTTTGGCCCGACTCCAGGCCAGAAGGAATCCCTTACGGCCAAATCCGTGATCTCGTGTGAGCCAAGCGCCTTTTAAAAGCTCTGAGAGTTTGTTTTTCTTTTACATTCCATCTCTGTCCTCCTCTCTGACCAACTCGAAAGGGGGGTTAAAGGTGGTGGCGGCAGCGGCGGCGGATTCGAAATCAATAAAGATGAGCCTCCGATTGGCAATGTGTTTCTGCGTTTTCTCGGGCTGCATTAAGTGGGTTAATGTCTTGCTGGCTGGAAGAACAATGGAACTGTCCGTCATCTGATGTGATCTTTGGGATACCAATGGAAATGTGGTTACGGGAGATGGAGAGAGAGAGAGTTCATTACTGGGGTCAAGTGGGAAGTGCCACATATTGCAGTTCATTAGCTGGATTTCTCGCAATATTTATAAATAATAAAATTGAAGTAAGTTTAAGGGGAAATACTGTATTAAAATCTTGAAGATCAGAACCCCTCTTCAAAGTTGCTTCCTCAATCCTCGACTCCTTGAGAGTTAATGATCGCTGCTCTTCAGACCAACAACTGGCAGCAGAAGATATAAATATGATGCGGTATGTCATAGTTTGTTTTGACTATTTGTCAGCGAGTTATGAGTCTAGGAACACGCCCCTTAACCCTCTAAAAAATAAAAATCTCGACAGTAATTAAGGCCGCTACCGGACGCAAAAGCAGTCGAGGCATTGACTCTGTTCAGATTGCTGCTGACTTGCCTTTAACTAAAATTTTATGCAAATCTTTGCATAATTTCTCATTAGAAACATGTTTCCACTATATAATGTGTCAATAATATCTGCTGGTTTTTTCTATATTGTCTCTTCAATTCCATTGTCAGCATCGAATGCAAATTGGGAATTAATTTTTTCTTTTTTAGCGCGATGCCACTCCAATACGGCTGCAATTATTTAATTTAATAAACATGTTCTTACGAGGCGCGTATTATATATGTCTTGCATGCATTAATTTGAAAGCTATGACCGATGGAGCATTAGCATTGCGAACGGTGATAAATAATTAAATGCGAATCTACCCATTTGCAGGTGCTTGTGCTTGTCTTGAACTATTTTTAAAGATGTGCTCAGCCCGAGAAGCTGTTAAAGTCCGAGTCTTTGTCTGTAGCTCTCCCCCCCTCGAACTCTATTGGTAATGCATCATGGCATAGATCACCCGGACAGGCACATACATACATATACACAGCCGACGTAGGGTCAATAAAGCATCTTGAAAGTCCCCTTTGGCGCCAGGTAACTTGATCTAGCCCGCTTGTCTGCGTACATTTTCGATTGGCGCCTGCATTTTGACAGTCAATAAAATTCTGAAATGTTATACTTTTTGGTCCATTTTTATGCCGAATCGATTTTATTTCCCTCCGCCTGTCTCATTCTTCTCGTCTTTGTTGTCCAAATGGCTTTTTGATTGGAGAGATTGGGGCGATGAGACAAATGAACCACTTTTTCAGTTTGACAGCCCAGGTGAACCCACAAAACGAAAGACTTGGGCAACGAACTTGACGAATGATTCTGATATACCCCAAAAGAGGGGTAAAAGTCGCTCAAATTAGCCTTTTTGAGTTTCTCCTGCTTGGGGGAGTGTGCCTTTAACAGTTTCTGGGGGTGGGTTGGACCAGTGACATGAACTCTATCGAAGGCAAAACTAAAGACTTAGGAAACGAACTTGTTTTGAGCAACTTATCTAGGCTTTAAATCTGGTTTAAGTCTTAGTTGCGTCTTAGTTAGTTCAAGGTAATCTTACTTAAATCAATCTTAACTTGATTTAGAGTTCTCATTCATTTCTAGATGCTACTAAAGTGTAGAGATTTCATTGGAGACCTACTTAAGAGTGTATTGACTTCGGTTTATTGTATTTTATTTCGTGTGGCTCTTTTTACTATGACTCTTTAATAAACTATAAAAATAAATTTAGAAACAATGACGACAAAACACACGTCGGAATGCGATCGTCAGGTGGACAATGGCGTGCGCTGGACAGCTAACTGCTCCCCTGCTCCCCTTTTGGGCCCATATATAGGCCCCATCATGCATATTGATGATATGCTCATGTTCGCTCATCTCTCCATTACGATCCGATCCAATCCCACCTGGATTGTTTATTACCATTGACGCCTTATAGGTATTTTCTTTTTTTTTTTTTTTTTGACACAGCTCAAGTCAAAGTCGAGCATTACGTTATCTCTTTTTGTTTTTTTGCATCCAAGAAAAGTCGGGAATCCTGCATAGTTCTCGTGCCGTGGCCGTCTGTCCCATTCATCATCAGGTGGATAAAGCAGTCAGGCTGTCGGGCCATAAACAAAGTTCGGCCTGAACGGCCAGTCAGCCGCCTAATTAAGTGATTAAAATTCTGGCCATCAACGGGGCGTATGACTTTTGTATGTGTTAATATAAAGTTTATTATTTGAAGCAGCACGTGGTCAGCACTGGCACTGGCAGAATCGGCCAGAGATATCGATGCGGCCCATATCGGTGGTATAGGCCTAATGCTCATGACCGCAGCATATAAAACAGGGAGCTTAGGGGGGCCTAACATCGGAATATCTGTGCGTAACATTTGTGGCATTTTTAATTTACTACACAGCTATCAGCTATACAGCAATCAACTTGCAACCGAATGTTGATTGAATTTATGCCAAAGCATTTGTTTGCCGTCTCTGTTTTGGTGTTGCCATTGACAGGCCACGCCCATTTGGCCCGTGGTTAACGAAAATCGAGGCAAAGACACCGCCGGATCAGATATACATATACGAGTATACTATCCTATATTGGTGTCCGATCAGAACTGATTTTGAAACAAGAGTGGTAGCTGAATACGTAAATAATTTATTGCCTTTGATCCTATAGGGCTGTGCGGTAGTCATGGAACTTTGTTGACAGCTGGTAGATACATCCGAAAGATAGTTTCTACTGGGCATATATAATCCATAGTAATGTGGACAAGTGGGGCATGAAAATCAAAAGAGGTCGTTAACTTTTGGGTGTTAGGGGAAATGTTTTTGAAATGTTTCTTAGAAGAGCATCAGAAATTGCTCTTTCCTAGGTTTTTATTAAATATGAAAGATGGAACCTAATCATATATGCATTTGATATAGTCTTAAACGGTATCAAAAAGATATATCTTTTTAAGTTTTTAAACCAGAAAGTAGAACAGAATGTTCTTGATTTAAGCCCACCATCATTTCAAACCACATCAGATTTTAATTTTTAATAGTTTTTATTTTTTCTTTTTGACATAACTAAAAGCCAATCTATAGACGTACAATAACTAAAACTAAAATATAATAAAATACTTAGATGCAATGCAAGATCATGCTTAGACTTAACAAATTTTTATGTACAATAGCATTTTTGAGGGTGGGAATGATTACTACTTCTACTTCCGCCTTGGCTAACTTTAAGATACAATTGCAAACGAGGCTCAAGGAAATATTTACAATTTTTTTAACGTTTTCATAAAAATAATTTTTGGATCTGAGCTCAATAGGTGAGTGTGTGTGTGTTGGTTTCTTTTTTATGTGTGTGTATGTATTGGTGTGTGCTTATGTGCGAGTGCAATGCAACTACCTGGCCTAGCTGTCTCTTTCCAGCGAAACCTGTCTGTTTCCCTGTCTCTTTCACCTTCTCAAAGTGTGAGCGAGCACACGAAAAAAAATTTACATTTTCTTTAAGTAACAAAAAATAAACAACGAGGGTTTTTGGGGCGACTCCTCCCACTTGGAATTGTTTTTTTTTCGCCGTGTACTTAGACACACACGAATATTCCCCTCATGGCACTGGCCGCATTGTGGGCCACCGCGAAGCCTCCGAAGTGGGTGGCCTCAGCACCACCCAACTTCTGCCGCTTGACCTCGGCATGGGTGGTGGTGGTGGTGGTGTTTGGCGAGTGGGCTGCGGAGTGGGAGGAACTGCTGCTGCTGGTGGTCAGGCATTCGGCCTCCAGTTGATAGAACTTGCGACGCGGAGCCACCTCCAGCTCATGATCCTCGGAGCCACTGTCGTTGAAGCTGTGCACCGAACTCCTTGAGGTCTTCATGCTCAGATCCATGGGTCCGTCTTGGGCGGTTGTGGTTGTGGGTGGATGCACTGGAGCAAGGCTGGTGGTTTCGGCACCAATGGAGCACACGGAAACTGGCGACAAACTCTGCATCTTGGCCGCAAAACTCAGTGGGCTGCTGGCCGGTGTTGTGGGTGTGGCACGGATGGCAATGGGATGCAGGAGACTTCCGGACGACTGATGGCTATGAACGGACTGGACATCTTCCTCCAGGCACACATCGATGGGTGACTGGCGGGCCGAGGAGGTGGGCTGCACCACCGGTGGCTGGCTGGCAGGGCTGAAACGGTTCTGCGACTCCACGGAATCCACACTCTGGCGGTGCTTGTACATCTCCTGGCGGTAGGCGGCATCGGCAGCCGAAGCCGCAGCAGCAGCAGCACTGGCATGATAGCCTGGGAAGAGGAGATGCGGGGGCAGTTGGAAGGGCGACTGATGCGGGGCCACGCCACCCATCATGCTGAAGAAGGGCAGAGCGGCGGCTGGATCGGGTAAGTAGCTGGGATAACCCAACAGAGGCATATGTGGATGACGCTGCACCTGCTGCTGTTGCTGCTGCTGATGATGATGATGCAGATGGGCAGCCATGTCCCCAAATCCGGGTGTATGTGGCGAGCCCACTGGAGAGGAGGCCGACGGAGCACCACCCATTGACACACCACCTGCGGTGGGTGGCGCTTTGCCAGCAGCAGCAGCAGCCTGTTCGTGCTCTTGCAGCAGGCAATGGATCTTGAACCAGTTGGAACGGCGACCGTACCGGGATCCACCCTTCGACATGCCCACGTTGTAGCACTTCCTCAAGCGGCACGCCTTGCAGGTGGTGCGGTTCTTCTTGTCAATGATGCACTTGCCCTCATTCTTGCACTCGCTAATGGTGCTGATATTGTTGTACGATCGGCCAAAGAATGACTATAATGAAGAAGGGAAAGAAAATGTGGGTTAGTCAAATGGCAAAATGGTAAAGAGTTGAGGTTGGGAAAACTATGAATTCATTCAAGAAACTTGGCAATCTCCAGAAAATTCTTAACAATTTCCATGCTTCTTGAATGTTTTCTTAGGCCAAGTATTTCCCTTAACCCCTTGGGGGGTAATTTTCTCAATGAGTTTTCAGGACACAACTTACCTTGCAGCCCTCGCAGGTGAAGGCGCCAAAATGGAAGCCCGCCGCCGGCTCACCGCACACTTTGCATGTCTGGTTCATCTGTAAAGCAATGAAGAAATTGCACGTTAGTAAGGGTTTAATCCATTGGTCGAGAGAGGTATATGTTTGTAGTTAATCCACAATGAGGCGAACGGATCTGGATCTAGACACTAACCAAGTTGAACACCATGTTGTTGTGTGATTTCTCTGTCGGGATATTCTCTATGATTTTTCTCACGTTGGCTGTGTGAGGGAGGATTGCTGTGCTGATTGATCTGTTCGTTTGGAATGCTGCTGAGCAACTGATGGCTGGACTCTAGGCCGAGCGGGATATATATAGGAAACTGTGAAAAACTCGACAGGATGGGCGTTTTTTTACGATCTCAACAGGCCAAAAAACTTAAGCTGCTGGATTATGCAACCCTATGCGTTCATTTTCATTTTTTTCGCGCTGTCCAGTCATAAAACTCAGGTAGATTTTCTTTTTTATACGAAGTCATTACGAGACGCTGCGAAAATAGTTAGGTTCCCTAAAAAAATGCAGCACTCCAGACCTTGACGTTCGCTGATGGTCATAAAAACTCACACCGATTTTTCCCCGAGTCAAAACACAAAAAAAAAGTAGACAAAAATTTTGGTTTATGAAAAATTTTCGTTGATTTTTTCATTTTTGCCCTTGCCTTCGGGCGCGCAAAAAAATAGGGAAAAATGGGAAATGAGCCAGAGAGTTTTTCGCGAGAAATAGTAAAAAATCAAAGTAGTGCACAAGGGATCGTAAAATATGCCGACGGCAGCCGCGACCCAAAAACAAAAACCGTGAATTGACTTCGATCTCAGGTTGTCTCTTTCGCTCAGAACTTACCTTCTTGTTTGTCTTTTTTTTCCGGCTGGTCACTGGGTTTTATGACGACTTTTTAATTGCAGCGATTCGCGATCGTTGCTGCACGTTTTCTCACTTTGCCTAGTTTTGGTCTTTTCTCTTTTTCTGGAGGGGTTTTTGCAAACACTTTCAGATCAGTCTCTGTTAGATTTTTCCTTAGATTTTCTTCGACACTTTGAATAAATACGTTATGATCTGATATGATGGGATCTAATCGCCGGAGCAACGCGGTTTGTTTCTTTTTTTTTTTGGAACTCTCGATGTGTGTAACTGACACTTCGGCTACTAGCTGACGACTGATTTCTGGTTGAGAGGTTCGACTGGCAAGAAGCGTTTCTGTGTTTCGCCTACTGGCCGAACTCTTTGGCTTATGTACTCGCACTCACACCAAAGCAGACTTACCAGTTTTCAGCCCCAGCTCTCTGATAAATCACGGCTAAAACCACCACCATCAAAACTCGGATCGAGTGCGAGAGAGCGATCGAGCCAGCGCACGCACACAAGCGCACTACACTCAAAATGTTAGCTCGAGTGAAATGTTAACAGTATGTTATCATTCTTTTATGCTTTGGGTACAGAAACACTCAGGTTTCTCTTGCCTTTGAGGGCAATTTGCATTGCTCTGATATTATTCGTTATTCGGTTATTTATTCAAAAGAAACTCTCGTGCTAAGGGCGGCGGAATTTCTCACTCAATCGAACGGAAAAAGACGAACTCACACTCCAGCTCCAGCTATTGACTTCATTTTTAACATTTGCTCATTTTATTTGGCATGGGCGGAGCCTTTTCAGCTGCTGAAAATTGAAATGGTTGGAGGCTAATACGCTGCAGGGGCTTTCATACGGCAAAGTCCGTCGGTTTTTGGGAGGTTTTTCTTGAATTTTTAAGTACTTTAAACGAAAAAATAAGAACATTTCCCACATGCAGTATGATTCGTGTTTGGTAGAACATCATCCCCTACACTGCCATTATCATTATAAATAAATTAAAATGTTGTAAATTACAAATTAACCATTAATACGTTAGCTTCGATTCATGTCCATAAAATGTTAGGTAGCCAGGTTGAAATTGCTTCCTAAAAGTTGTAAAAAACTGATTTCTAGAGGGTGATTACCCGGACTTACGATGATTCATAAAGAATCTAACAGAACAGTCTAGCTAAACAGCCTCTTTTAAACTAACTTGTTTAACTATCTTATTAAATAAGCTAACTAAACTGTAAACAACTTCTAAAATAATAAACAAAATCCCTTAAAAAGAATAACAAGTATCAGCTATAAACTACAAATAAAATCTAAATTTAAAAAATCCAAATTTTAAGCAAATCAAACATTAACAATCATTTCCCTTCCTAACATAAAACCAATATCAATCGAATTAAACTCGAACCCTTTCAAAAGTCAACTTCCAACATAATTTCTCTCATTTGTCCCAACAAAGAGCCTTATGGCGGCAGTTAACTCTTTTTATGAATATTTATTGTTGTTTGCTCCTAGCCAAAAAGGAAGTTAAGAGCTACCTGTTTAACCCTTTTATGCCCCTAACCTATGTGCTTAACCCTTTTATGGGTAAGCATTGTCCTCAAAGGGTTGCTAAACCAAAAGAATCAACCAAGAAACCTTGACTTTTCGTCTGCGAAGTGTGGCTCGAACTATAAAAACTATAAAACACCAACCGATATATGCTAAACTATGTTTTAGGTTTTTTACCTTTTAAGAGAAAAACCTCGTTAGCTGGCTTCTTCGAAATGATTCCAAATTTGACTTTCATTTGTTGCATCAGGCAGTAGTTTTCCGCGTAAAGACGGGAAAATCAGACAAAAGGCTTGTAAAAAAGTCAAAAAGTAACTAGAACCATCCTTCGGTTTTTGCATCTCCACGCACCTTTTTTTCTAATCGATTCATTTTTATGGCTCACCGTTTTTTTTTTATTTTCTGTTTTTCTCACACCGAAAATTTTCTTCTAAAAAATGCTGTTCAAGCGTTTTCGCGAATTTCCGCACAAGCCAAATGGGTAATTTTCCCCGGGGGTAATTAGTTAGCCCGAAAGGAGAGGAGCGACAAAAAAATAAGGACAATGTGACTTTAATCCGGTTTAATCCCCGGCTTAAGTTTTTTGCTGCAATTGCCCGGCAATTCGTTCGCGCATCTTTGAGAAATAATAAAAAAAAGAAAAACCGAGCCGAGTGTCGCGTCCGCCGTCATAATTATGATCCTAGGATAATCTGCAGCTTAGGTAAGCTGATCCTGCGATTAGGTAACGAAATCTCAGGCTTAGGTACCCACAAGAATTGGCCTAAAAAACTCAGCCTGCGTCGGCGGAACACGTCCGTGGGCCGTGCGTGTCATAAACCCAGGAACGTTCCTCGTCGTAACCATAAAAAGTCGAGCAGCCGATGGTCATAACCCGAGCCAATGCAGAGCACCCAACAACCAAAACCACCCATCCATCTATCCACCCGTCCGCACTTTTTTAAGCGGAAAAGGGATAAAACGCTTGCCTTTCGGCATATGTCCTCACCTTGGACGAGCCGTACTGAACCAGAACCAGGACGTCATATAAAAAAGTCAATTGTCGCGGGTGAGTTGCGTAAAAAAATGATGGAAAATTTTCCAAGGAAAATCGCTTGAAGGTCAACCCTCAGCAGGAGGTCTCACCAAAAAAAATGGTCGATTGGTAAAAAACGCAATAAAAAAAAGTAACACAAATTTCTGCGCTGACTTTTTGACTTTTCAACTTTATTTTAATTGCCCAATGTCGTAAAAAACGAAGATGCTGTCAGGAAATGCTAGCTACTAACTTGTGCCTAGGTAACGAGTATTAACCCCATCACGGTTCCGGCTATAAGGCTATATGGCTATATCAGCGTCAAAATGTCAGAGAGCTCCCTCAAGAGGCCCCCCCTTCGTTCGCATTTACATAGTTTTGATTGCATCATTTTGGCCAAATGACTGTATAACCAGCACATATCAATCAAATCGAGACCCAGCGATATGCCGTCCAGTTTTCAGACTCGTGTTCGCTGCTCTCAAAAGTAATTTGCATATTTTTGATTTAACAGCTCGGACTTAGCATTTTGTTTTGCCATCATTGTTATGTCTGATTATGTGCGAGAAAATTTGCATATTCCATATATATCCTAAACAACGGCCTGGGTCTGTCTGGTCCACAAAGATAAGATTAAGCTGGATTCTGCTTAATATTTTATGGCCAACATTACAATTAGTAAATTAATGGCTTACAGTCCACAGATTTAGGCATAATACCTCAGATAAACCAATGAATCACATCACGTTGGCTAACAACGGCACTGAAGCCCTGGACCTGGACTGAGATGTGTTCATTATCTCCGATGACTGTTCAGGTTTCATTATATATATATAGTATAGTAGCTTTGATGAACGACGGCAGGCGGCAGGCGGCAGGAGAGAATCTCAACTTTTCGTTATATAAAAATTGGAGGCGGGAAATTTATTTATCGTTCACAACAGTTTTTCCATCTTACTTGGGTGTAAATTTGTAAGAATTGTTCGGCGTTAAGCACTATTATTATCTGGTCTTGTTTGGAATGTGCTGGATTTTCATTGTTGTAGGATTTTTATCTGAGGAATTAATGAGGTGGGATTGAAGGTATTTTGTGTCTTTAAATGTTTTGAAAAATATTTATAATCTGAAAAATATTAATCTTAAAAAAGAGGGTTAGAAAGTACAATTTACTATTTTTTCAACAGGCCATCTGCTAATTCCCAAAAGCCTAACCAGCCTAACAGCCTTTGAAATAATATATATTTAATCTAACTTTTTGCTCAACTTTTGCTAAAAATTAGAAATTCAGTTCTTGGGCTAAAACTAACTCCTCTAAGAAAAGTCAATAAAACTTGTTTGGCTAATTTCTCATGGCATCTGGAGGTTCTCGATGCCGTTCTTTGATATGTGGTTGGTTCGGTTTCGCCTGACAAATGTCTTGTGTTTAATTGTGTTTCGGTAATGTCTTCATTACGCTTTCGGCTCCTCTCTCTTTCTCTCTCAACCAAAACCCGTTCCGATGGCTTAGCCTGGCTTTGTATTTGATATATGGCCACCGTTTATTGATTCTCTCTCGGCTGGAATTCGCCTTATCACTAAATCGGACAATTGATATTGTATTGGAATTATGAAATTATGCAAATTTCAAAAATATGATTATTGATGGCAAAAGCAAAGAACATAGAACAGGCGACAGACAAAAGACGGCCATGGAAAGGGGTTGAAATGGCTCTTAAGACTTTTGGCAAATATGACATTTATAATCGAGTGTGACAGCATAAATAATAATTACGCTACAATTATGACAGCAGGGTTTATCCTGGCATCTAAGCCTTTGGTTAAATCTCTTTGAGTTTTCCATCGTTGGAGTTTCCCTCGATGGCAGTTTCTAGCTGGCTTGGACCAACGCCAAACTTCCCACGGATCATAGTTCGTAGATCTAAGATCACTAACGATATGTTAATGTGGCCCGAAGTACCCACATGTTTGAGATTAGACTCTACTCTGGTACAGGGACTGGGCAAAACCAACTAGCGGAAGTCGTTGCTGCGGTTTGCCAATCAAATTTCCAGCCAGGCGGGAAATGCAGTAAATTTTCCAAAGCGTTTCGCGGTTTTTCACACACACACTCGGCTGATCTCAATTAAATCCGCTTGGCCGGCGACTCGACTCGGGACTTGTTTGATCGGATCCTGGCTTTGGAATTTCTTCGACAGATTGCACAAGTCGTTGGGTCAGCAGGGTACGAAGGATGGACCTCTGCTTTCTGACTGCCTGGCAAAACACGGCACTTTAATCCTCGACTAATGCTCGATAATCTATCGAAACCGCCGAGCAAGTTAAGCTAACTGGGAAAAAACGCCGTCAATGGACAGTCTGCCGGGAAATTCCACTTCTTCACTGACCATCTTGATCGGCACCGAAAGATCACTCTTACTACGAACCGAGATTAGCCAACATGACTTTGGTTATACCCAGGTTGGTCTATAAGATCATAATTATCGCAGGGAAACTAAGATAATGGCAGTTTTAGAAGGCAAAATTCTTAATTTTTTAGAGAAAGCAATTACATAACGTTAATAGACTATCCTGGGAAAAGTAAAGCTCTCTAATGTTATTCCATAACTTTGATTTAAGCATTCAGTTTACAAACTCTTTTTCCGGCTAGTATTTTCTATTTCTGGCACGATCGGCTTAATAATCAAACCCAACTTTGATTCCCAGGCAATTGCAACGAGTCCATGGCCCACACGCATTAGTTTCCTGGAAACATATTTCATTGAGTATAAATATGATTTCTCTTATCGATTTTAATGATCGCCCATAAAAATTGTGACCGGATACC